TCAAGCCACTCAAGCCAAGGTGTATGTGCATTGGAGAGTGATTTGGTAGCAAATTTCATAAGGAGGCAGTAGTTTTGAACTTGCAGGTTTTTGAGCCCTAAACCACCGATTTTTTTTGCTAAGCAAACATTTTTCCATGCAACAAGACATTGAACACCTGAGCAAGCATCGTCTCCTGCCCAAAAAAAGGCCCTTCTCAGAGAGTCCAATGTTTTGATTGTTTTCTTGGGGATGTAGAACACAGACATGAAATGGGTGAGGATTGAGTCCATAACTGCGGAAATGAGGACGAGATCGCCTTTATCGAGTAGTTTGGCACGCCAGCCTGTAAGTAATTTCCTAGAACGTTCTACCAAAGGGTTGAAGGCATTGGTGAGAGGCTTAGTCGGGGCGAGAGGAAGACCGAGATAAGTTTGAGGGAAGGAGGCGCATTAGCACCCCATGGTGAGGGCAATGGCAGCAGTCTTGGATTCGTCTGTGTGTAGAGTGGCTAGGGTAGTTTTGGAGAAGTTGATGGCGAGGCCCGTGGCGTGTGCAAAATTGTTTAGGATCACTTTGAGGGCTGCGGCGGCGGCAGGAGAGGCGGCAGCAAAGATGAGTGTATCATCAGCGTATTGGAGGACAGTGGGAGGCAAATGGGAGAAGATGGGGTGGCTCCGAATACTATGCCTTCGAACTCTGCATAACATTTCAAAGCATACAATCACTTTGTAAGCATAAGATCACATGTTAAAAGTTGATGCAAGGCAGCAAAAGAAATTAACAAGAAGTACAAAACTTTTACAACTGCGGCAGACGAACTTAGCTAGTGACTGTTCGAGCTTGCTAGATCTGGATCGAGTCGCAATAATATAGGGCGTGTTTGGTTGCCCGCATGCAGCCCAACCAGGCACGTGCGGGATGTGCGCGGCCTGTTTGGTTGGCTGGGTTGCATGCGGTTTGAGGCCCGCACGAACCTCAAAGTAGCCCGCAGCCTGGCCCGACGGAAACTGCCGAATCGGCAGTTCCTCGCGAGCCTGGCCCGGCACGGCCGCGCGTGCAGGGCAGTTGCATGCCTTGGGCAGTGTGGGAGACGGAGGCGACGTCTCATTACTTGCCCCCACTCTCCTGTCACCGCCCCAGGCACACTGTTCCCACCGCTCCCTCTCTCTCCCTCACCGCCCCTCCCTCTCCTCTCCTTTGCTCTGATGGCTCCGCCAGGCCCACCGCCGCGCCGCCCTCTGACCCCGGTCGACCAGCGCATCGCCAGCATCCAGGAGCGCTGGCTGGCTGGGCTCCAGAACTCGGGCCACGACTTGGCGTCGGCGCTGCGGGCGCCGTCCCCCATCTGCTGCCGACCTCCTACACGAGCACAGGCCCATGCGGTGCTAGTCGCTCTTGCTCCGCCGCCGATTCTGGACCTCCTGGTCCTGGGCTTGGAACCGGCGTCGTCGACGGAGCCGCCCCTTCTCGGGACACCATTGGTCCTGGGGGTTTTCTTGACCCCCGTCCAAGGGTTTTCTCCAGCCGGCGGGCCGTCCTTCTCGACCTCTAGCATGGCGTTGAGCACGGGGTCGATGCCGCAGGCCGTCGCCGGGACCGGCTTGTCCTCTGCTCCGCCGCCTCTATCGTTCCCGCCGAGGTTTTCACCCCGGCCTCGGTTCGCCGCGGCTGCGCGTGCTCCGGTGAGTCAAATCCCCTCAAATCTTGCTCCTAGATATAAATTAGCGATTAATGTCTTAGGCATGTGCTAGGATTGATAGGATTCTAGCAAATCCGATTGGATGCGATCCCAATCGGACTGATTTGTTCTTGTTTTGTATAGTGCTTGTGCTATTGCTTGTGTTCATGCTAGAATTCTAGTAGTTGTGTTACATGCTAGATTCATGTTCATGCTAGAATGCTAGAATCATGCTAGTCTGAGTGCTACTACATGCTAGATTTGTGCTACATGCTAGTAGTTGTGTTCATGCTCGAATCATGTTCATGTTGAGTGATGAATGCTAGAATCATGTTGACTGATGGCATGTTCATGTTAGGATCATGTCCTTGTTTCATGTTGCATGTTGAAGCTAGGGTTTGTGCCATGAGTGGATGTTATACGTGCATGTAGTAGGACGATTTTAGGATGGTCCCAAATCTGCATGGCTACACATGGGTGCAATTGGCACTTGCTGTTGCTATTTTTAGATGTTTCCTTGTTTAGGATAGTGCAGTGATCAGTGCCAGTTGCAGCAAAGAAGATGCCACTGATCAGTGACTTGCCCAACAACAAGTGTCATTGATAAGTGGCATTTGCCCACTTATCAATGGCACTTGCTGTTGGGCAAAATGGCACTTATCAATGGCACTTGCTATTGGGTAAGTCACTGATCAGTGTCATGGCTGTGCTATTTGGCAAGTCACTAATCGGTGTCATTGATCAGTGTCATTTGCACTACAGCAAGTCGATTAGTGCTCTTTCCCAACACCAAGTGCCACTGATCATTGCCATTTGGCCATGAGCACATGCCACTGATCAGTGGCACTTGCTGTTGGGCATTCTAGCATTCATCACTGATCAGTGGCACTTGTTGTTGGGCAAGTCCACTGATCTGTGGCACTGATCTGTGGCATTTGCTTGCTTGCTTGCTTGTTTGCTTGCTTGTTTGCTTGCTTGCTTGCTTTGTTTGATACTAATACTTGTCATGTTGCCTGACAAGATACTGAAGACTGACTGGGATGTGGCGGGTGGAGGAGCTCAGGTCGTGGCCGGAGCTGAGCGCGCCGAGGATTTCATCCCCACAAACAGGTGGCTCAGGACGGTGGACCTGCCTGGCAGGATTGCCTTCATGAGCGTGCCTCGTTCAAGGGGAAGATCTCCGAGGCAGGGCCACGAGGTGGGAGCCAGGGAGCCGATGAGATTCTACCAGCAGATCAAGGACAACGAGGACCTCGCCATGCTCGTCGTCCCTCCCAAGTTCGTGGAGGTGATGAACACCTGGCTGGTGATCAAGCGGCTCCCGCGCGTGGTCAGGCTCTCGGCCAACATGCACTTTGTGTTCTGGGTGCAGGTCCAGAACTTCGAGGGCCACATGGTGCTTGGCCGGGGGTGGAACTACTTCTGCCGCCGCCGCCGCATCGTCCCCAGCGACCTCGTCGTTGTGCGCATCTCCGGACTCGGACTGAAGGTTCAGATCTACAACCATGACTCGTCGGTGATGTGCAAGTATCATTGCAGCAGGCACAACTGCCTTGGTGCCATCGAGCAGGCTATGTAGTTAAGTTAAGCAGGTGTTAGTGGAGAACTTTTAGGGTGTGTGGCGATCGAGACTTGTGCTGGGAACTTGTTCATATTTTGACCAGGAGCAGCACCCTGGAACATCAGGGAAGGAGTATGCCCCTGCTCTTAATCTAGACTTATGCTATCTAGTTAAGTAGTTTGCTGGCATTTGCTTGCTTGTTGTGTTAAGTTTGCTGCCATTACATTACTTGCTTTGTTTGATCTTACTGTTGTGTTGTTGCTGTTGTGCTGATCATGTGTGGTGGTGAGGCCACCATATTTGAATGGGGTGAGCAGAACACAAACGTTGTTTGTAATCAAATAGCTGAAGTTTGCATCTGCTCACACCCTAAGCACAAATGCGGACAACCAAACAGCAAGGGTAAGTGTCTCTCGATGCGATGCAGGCAATCAAACAGGTTGCATCTGCTGCATATGAGGCTGTTTTTCAGCAACTAGGCTGGCTAGAGATGGACATGCAATACAACTACTATTGCAAACTGCAACCAAACACGTCCATAGTGCATCTACCAGCTGCGTGCACAGAGCTGCCATATCGATTAGTTTACGCCTCCTGGTGTCGAGGCTGGCGCGCACATTACACCGCGTGCTTGGTACTACCTATAGTTTTGTTACTTGCACTCATGGGGCGCGTGGGTGGCTCAAAATTGCCCTCTGCATATCCGTACATGCAGGCATGCATCTTAGCACGTGGCTTCACACTTGATGCGTTCAACAATGGTCCTGGGAAATGAGACAGACCGAATCTAATGCATGGGAAATCTCAATATCCAATGCAATGAGATCGGATGTGTCTGCAACATGTTAGCCAGATGAAGTGGAGACGTGGCAACCTATATAATGTTATATTTTTTTATCTTGCAAGAAAATTAGTACACAGTTTTCTTTTTAATTTTTTTCATATACTATGTCATTTAAATGAGAATTGGCTTAGTCTCGGTGGACTGAGACCTAGACATACACATATATATATATGTATACACACAATATAAACATAAATGTTCAGATTTTGTACTCAACAGGAACGTTTCTTCCCCAGAGTGAACCTCCTCAAAAAGTTTGAGATAATTTTTTTAAAATACCAAACTTGTTAGATGAAGCAGATTAACACAATTATTTTATGAATAAAGATACCCAAAGGGCATCTTAGATCTGACTACTGACCAATACAATGGATATAAAAGGCATACTAGTTTTCTTTCTTGTCTAATTAAATGTTGTCCACTGAACTGAAAATTGCACCGAACCACCTATAACGAAGAAAAGCGATATATACAAACGTCCCTGCCATACTAGATTTTGAAGACGGCAATAACCACTTGCCCATTGAGACAGAGATCTAAAGATCGCTGAAGATGCATGGGCTTGACCATCATCTCACAAAGAATAGGTTGCAATTCATCACCATCATTTTAGAAGGTAGAAGAAACTGGACTAAAGACACAAAACAACACAAAAGAAGATGTCGAAGTTGCCACACCAAAAACTAGATGAAAGACACATGACTGCTAAGATTTGAACTCCCAGAATCTGATTGCCACACCAGAATCTGCTAAGATTTAAAGACACATGAACGACTTGTCTTATCATCATTGCCTTACTTTCCATTTTTATTCGTGATTGCCTGAGCTTCCATTTTTATTTTATTGCTTACACGCACACACTGCAGGCTGCTGCAGCTACACTTAGCGACTCAAGCTCAGTCTTGACGGCATTGATCAGGCGATCAAAGCGCATGCTAGTTACCGCCGGCGGTGCACTTGGGCCCCGGGAAGCCATGGTACCAGTCGTTGCAGACACGGCGGGATGAGTCCGACATCGCCGGCTCGCAGCTCTGGCAGGTTGCAGCACACTGCTCGACCTTGTCCATGCAGCGGCACATCGGCGGGAACGACCTGGTGCACAGAGCCATGTCACAGCATTTCCACGGCCTCTCTTCTTCTTCCGCCTTCTTCTTCTTCGCTGTTGCAACAGCCTCCGTGCACATGGGCCCCGGGAAGCCATGCTACCAGTCGTTGCAGACGCGGCGGGATGAGTCCGACGTCGCCGGCTCGCATTTCTCGCAGGTCGCAGCACACTGCTCGACCTTGTCCATGCAGCGGCACAGCGGTGGGAATGACCTGGTGCACAGAGCAAAGTCGCAGCATTTCCATGGCCTCTCTTCCTCTTCCCCCTTCTTCTTCGCTGCCGCCAAAGTCACCGGGTAATCTTTACTAGCACCTTCGGCTTTCGCGATGCCGACGTTGAGGCCGCCGTCGTCGCTGCACTCGGGCCCGGGGTCGCCGGTGTGCAGGTCTTGGCAGACGTGGCGAGACGGGTTGAGCGTGGACGGCACGCAGGCCTGGCAGGTGGACGCGCACTGATCGACCTCGTCACCACACTTGTACACCATCGGGTTCGACTCTGTGCAAAAGGCCCGGTCGCAGCACTTCCACGGCCTGCTCGCCACCATTTCTGCTTGGCCTGCAAGTCCTCAGTTAACGAGCCAAGCTGTGATCAGTTTCTTCGTTCAGCAGCTACGTGAACTGAACTAGGAAAAAAACTGATGGCATGGTCACCTTTGCCCTCGCTCGGCAGGAGAATGGTGCCCACATCGTCGGCGCCGGCGCCCGTGGTGGGGCGGCCGGCGGCGACGAGGAGGGCGGCCTCGAGTGAAAGCATCAGCAGGATGCTAGGAACAATGCATCTCTTCATCGTCTTCATGGCTGGTTACTGAGGTTGCTTGTGTGTTTCAAGCTGTGTAGCCGCGTATATATAGCCGCGTGACAGCCATGAAAACCAACGCGTGGCGCGTCACGGTTAAGTTAATTCCAGAATTAGACACGTAGTGCCACATATGGGTGCTGGACGTTGTGCCACGCATCATGCATGCTTCAGCCATGCAGGCACGAGCAACACGCCCTTCATTATTTCTACCGCGGCATGGATACTCCCTTCGTTTTTATTTACTCCACATATTAAAAATAATATAAACATTTATAATGACAAATTTATATGATGTGAAATTGTATTTTGTTTTCGTCCCTTCTATTTTGTTCTCGTCCATGGCCTCGACCCCTAGTGTAATCATATGCCTTATCAAGCACCTTTTCGCAAATTCGTTGCTCCGTTCAAGTTACTTTGCCCTTCTCTGTAGGCTCTTTTTGCTTTTGTAACATTACTTCCTACGTTAATAATACAAGAAATGAAAGGCATTTGTTAAGAAAACATGTATAGCATTAATAATACAAGAAATGAAAGATGGTGACAATGAGTGCTACATGTCCTGAGATCTCAATGGCTCTATTGGTATATCCTAGCAGATCTTGGACCATATCAAATCCATCAAAATCATCAAGGTCTTTGCTACTTCTTGAGTTTGCGTTGGTTTTTTCCTTGAAGAGAAAAGAGTGATGCAGCAAAGTAGAGATAAGTATTTCCCTCAGTTAGAGAATCAAGGTATCAATCCAGTACGAGACAACGCAGAAATCATCAATATATGCACAAACAATCAAACAACTTGCACCCAACGCGATAAAGGGATTGTTAATCCCTTCACAATTACTTGCAAAAGTGAGATCTGATAGAGATAAACAAACAAAAAATAAAATATTTTGGAGTTTTTTGGTTTATAAGTCAGAAAGTAAAAGATTACAAAATAGTAGATCGGAAACTTATATGATGGAAAATAGACCGGGTGAACAAATAATACGGCGGGTGAACAAATTACTGTCGAGCAACTGATAGAAAAGCACAAAGTTATGACGATATCTAAGGCAATGAGTATGAAGTATAGGCATCACGTCCGTGTCAAGTAGACCGAAATGATTCTGCATCTACTACTATTACTTCGCACATCGACCGACTCCTGCCTGCATCTAGAGTATTAAGTTCATGAAGAACAGAGTAACGCATTAAGTAAGATGACATGATGTAGAGGAATAAATTCAAGCAATATGATGTAAACCCCATCTTTTTATCCTCGATGGCAATAATACAATACGTGCCTTGCTGCCCCTATTGTCACAGGGAAAGGACACTGCAAGATTGAACCCAAAGCTAAGCACTTCCCCCATTGCAAGAATAACCAATCTAGTTGGCCAAACTAAACCGATAGTTCGAAGAGAATTACAAAGATATCAAATCATGCATATAAGAATTCAGAGAAGATTCAAATAATATTCATAGATAAGTTGATCATAAATCCACAATTCATCGGATCTCGACAAATAGACCGCAAAGAAGATTACATCGGATAGATCTCCAAGAACATCGAGGAGAACACGGTATTGAGAATCAAAGAGAGAGAGAAGAAGTCATCTAGCTGCTAGCTATGGACCCGTAGGTCTGAGGTAAACTACTCATACTTCATCGGAAGGGCAATAGAGTTGATGTAGAAGCCCTCCATGATCGAATCACCCTCCGGCAGGATGCCGGAAAAGGTCCCTAGATGGGATCTCACCGGTACAGAAGGTTGCGGCGGTGGAGAAGTGTTTTCGTGGATGCTTCTGCTGGTTTGAGGATATTTCAGAATATATAGGACGGAGAATTAGGTCAGAAGTGTCACGGGGGGCCCATAAGGCAGGGGCGCGCCCTCCCCCTTGTGGCCGCCTCGTGGCTCTTCCGACTTTATCTCCAAGTCTCCTGGGTGTCTTTTGGCCGAAGAAAAATCATCGTCAAGATTTTATTCTATTTGGACTCCGTTTGGTATTCCTTCTTTGCGAAACTCAAAAATAAGGAAAAAACAGAAAGTGGCACTGAGCTCTAGGTTACTAGGTTAGTCCCAAAAATAATATAAAATAGCATATTAATGCATATAAAACATTCAAAACAGATAATATAATAGCATGGAACAATCAAAAATCATATATACGTTGTAGACGTATCAATCTTCCTCATCTTCAAGTAACTCATCAACTTGGTCTTCATCATTGCTAACGTGTTCTCCGTTGAATATTCATTTTGCGTACGAAGTTTGTATACCATACAATAACAAATGGGTTCGAACATGACTAATACTCTACTGGCTTATATTCATACAAGTTTCACAAATGCAACGCCGCTGTAATGTTGACAAGCAAAATCAAAGAATGCATTCACCCCTGAAATGTAATCGCTTGAAAACCTATCAAGCAACCTCATCCAACTCTTATGCATACTATCGTTTCCTGCACAAGCACTCTACAAGTGAAGCAAAATAGTACTAGAAATGTAGAATATAACAACATAACCCCATTAGCTACAAATCATTATTCTTCCGGTAAACACCTCAATCATGAAAGGAATTAGGCTGGCTACGTCAACCATTTTCAGCAAGTCCACCCGATGCGAAGAATTCAGTTTCAAAATTCTCCGTGCAAATGCAAACATATGTCAGACTCGCCTAGGACTGCTGATGATGTGACAAATTAAGTAGCACATGAATGTCATTGTTCACCCTAATATGAATTTTACAATGACTAATACATAATCTGTTGTTTTCGTTGTTTCTTGGTAACAAGAAAATTGAATCCTAGAAATAATGGATTTTCCATGCTCTTTCTCCTGCACAACTTCGGAAAGTAGACTTTTTCGAAAACCTGCAATAGAACTGTAATTGGAATAACTATTTTCGTGTCTTCTTTGAAGATGTCCCTGTGACATAAAAGGAGAAAGGTAAATTTCTCATTTGAGATGCCCTTAGTATAGCAAAAATACAAGTATTGGGAGAAGGGATTGTTATTGTTCTAATATACATGGTGATCCTGAAATTTGTGATAGCAACTTGTTTATGATGACTTTTTGTTTATTTGGTGTTGCAACTTAGAAAATAATTCGGGGCTAGCTTCCTTATGCATGCTTGTTTATAATGTAACATTTTGTTCGGTCGACATCATCACATAAAAAATAGATGGGCCTAACTGATTTCACAATGAATTATCTTGAGTTAGTATGATATTGCACTAAGAGTAACATGATCGGGAAACTATTGTGCCAACTTCATGTACACAACTGCAAATTAATTATGATCTTTCTAGCACTAATTTTTCATAAGTAGAACGAAAATAAATCTTAGTGCGTAAGTTACCTAGCTCATACTTAAGCAGTCCCAACCTACCATAATAAACAACACAAAAAGAAAATCTAATGTTGTACTATCACGTGAACCCATGGTGCTGCTTGTATGCCTTTTCTATCCAATATATATCATACAATACACTTTTCCCAAGCATCCTACATACTAATTAAAAATAAAATAAAACATAATATAAGATCAATAGAACACACCATAGAAATTGCAAGTTCTTGATTCAGGGTCACCTGCTTGGTTACTTCATGTACATTGTCTGTACCTGCCACTCATTAACGTCTGAATCAAGTCAAGAGATCTAACTCAGAGATAAGTATAACCCGTGTCATGGATGATAAGAGCGTCATGAATACTCTTCCAAAAGGGGCACCAGGGAGTAGACCAAATGCAAGACTTGCCTCTCGAGATTTGAACTGAAATAGAATCAATTAGTGGCTCAAGGTACCTTGAGAATAGAAGTCCAAAAAAGCATATTTCGGAACATTAGTAGCATGCCTCCAAAAAGAAGTGGTACATGAGATTTACGATTCTAGAGATGGTATTGTCTTGAGTGATGACAATTTGTATTAAACAAGAAAGTTTATTGACTGCTTCTAGATTTTGAATGCCTAAGCCTCCTTCTTTTCAGGCTTTGTAGATCTCAGACCAAGCATTGATGTAAAGAGGCTTGATTTGATTTTCATCTTGAACCCCAGTCCATGAAAGACTGCATTCATTTTCTTGGAGAATAAAATATTAGACATGTAAAAAAATCGGTAAGGAAGCAAACACAGATTTAATAGGAACTAGTTTGGCAGCATGGGAAAGTTTATTAGCTTTGTACTCACTAAATTTGCTTCTGAACTTATCCAAAACAAAATTATAAGCATGAGATCAATTTCTGGTAGGCATAATAAGAGGGTAGCCTAAGTGTGTGGTAGCAGTAGTCATATCAACCACTCTAAAAATACCTTTAACAATGTCTCTCATGTCATTAGTTACATTTTTTGCTGGAAAAAATAGAAGATTTAGCCCAGTTGGCGGCTTGTCCTGCAATGGCACGAAAATATTGCAAAGTATCCGAGATAGTTATGGCTTCATGGTGAATTGCTTGACGACAGACTAATTTATCTTCTGCAAACATTAGGAGTAAATTGGAGGGCAATCTGGCCTCAGAGTCATACCTTGCAAGTTTCTTTGATGAAGATCCTCCTGCATGCCAGAAGCTAACTCATTGATGGCTATAACAAATAGGTAAGGAGATAAAGGACAATCTTGTCTATACCTCTAGTTGCTCTGAAATCACAATGCAAATTGTCCAATAACTTGATTTATAAGAGCGTCATTCAGAAAATTCCATTCTAATTTATCAAAGGCTTTAACAAGGTCTAGCTGCAACATAAAAGCTTGTTGTTGCAAGGAGGAGAGGATAAAAGAATGGGCAATTTCCTGAGCAATAATAACATTATTAGTAATTCTCCTACCATCAACGAAAGCTTGACGGGCGTCCAAATTTATAACAATAGAACCTGCATTATATATTCACATGCTGTCAATCTTCATGTATCATCAAACATAGTACAACGTAGTTTCTAAGCATTGTGAAATCTAGAACTTAATCATTATATATTTA